GATGTGGGAGCGTGATTGCCTGAACAGGAGGAGGGAAACGCGCACGTGAACGTGACGCCACGCGTGAATTTCGAATTCGTGGCATCCGTGGTACACGCGCTAAAAGACATCTTGATTCCCATCCACCGTGACCATCACAGCGTACAGCCGGCCGGGCTCTCAACGTTCATGGCTTACGTCCACATCGTCATGACTATATAAGATGAAAAAGGGATACCTCGCTACCTTGAGCACTTCATCCTGTGTTTGGCTCACATAAACAGAGTCGTCGACTTTGAAGGGTGACCGCGCAAACTTGGGCATCCATATCGGCCACGACGCTAGTAAAACGCGTCTCAAGAAGGGCGCGGTGGGCGGTGGCGCGTGTCTTCGCTATTTTCTATGTCACCGATGTGTATTCAAATCCAGAGGTCACAAAATTTGTTCAGCGCCCTTCCAGCACTGCATCAAGTTGTCGTCCCCAGCGCTGTCTCCTTCAAAGACGCGGGGCCTATCAGACAGCTGCGGTGAGTGACCTCATACTCCCAGATGCGAATATTTACGGTATATGTGACCGCATACAGATCCTCGTCTGAACCCCCACCAGGATCAGAGCTCAGACACGTAACGCGTATCGTGACCGCATTCGTGTCTGGTGGACGGGACAATCACGTAGGTGTCCCTCGGTTGAGCTTCTTTCCAGCGCTGTTTTGGATCATAGACCTGCAACAGGGGAATTCCATCACGCACAAGTCCCGGTTCTACGTGCACAGTCGGCGCGAGCCGTATCACGCCTGCATTGGTCCCGATGAGCCTCACGCTGTCTCGCGATGGATAGCAGTCAAGCAATGCAATTCCGAAGTAAGTTTCGTGTCAGGCCCGGTGTCGCCTGCCGTTTTTCATCGCGGGATAGCCGCCGTTACGGCAGGAACTCGTACGTACATAGCACAACGTAGAGACTTGACTGTATTCTGGCTCGAATCCATCATCATCATCAGCCTGCCGTTTTTCATGCACGTGCTGCGCAGAGTCACTCCCGTGACCTGCTTCCAAGTTCCAACACACGCCTTTGCCATGTGAACTTTGAAGGGCCCTTATCAACAGCAAATCACCTGCCACACTACCGCCCGTACTCGATCGTTGGCACCTCAGGGCGCCGTATCGATTCATCAACTGCCTTCCATGCACTACCGTCATTCTCGTGCGCACGGTTGAAGATGTCCAATCGGTGCGCGCCCGACAACGTGCACCCTGTGCGGACGTCATGCTTCAGCTCGGGACGTACCTCCGTCGAGCGCGGAGCGGTCACATCTCTTCTCCTTCATCCGCCATGCTCCCGCATCTTCGGGCACGCACGTCGAGCGTGGCAAGTCCCTAATATTCGTCGACGACCGCGGGCGCTGAGAGGTGCCCGCTTCCTCTTCCTCGCGCTTCATTTCACCTCATGCTCCGCTTTTCCGCTAGTACGCGTCAGGAGGATATCGACAAGGCCCTCACGGTCGCCAAGAAGACGCTCAAGGTCGGCCAGGAGGTGCTCCGGGTGGTCCCGGTTCCGTATGTCGTTGACGGCGTGAAGGTTCTGATCAAAATTGTCGAGAAATTGGAGGTGCGCCGCCAGCCCATGGCCCCTTGTCTCGCATACCCATCCATGCCATCCTTCGTTACCCGGACGCCTTCGCCATCTGTTCTGCAGGAAGTCAGACCGACGGAGAAAGGGCTCCACGAGTTGGCGAACGATCTGGGGAACCTCGCTGGCATACTGCAGAGCGCGTCTGAGCAGATCCAGAGGAGGGTCGACGCGGGCGGGCAGGAAAAGCTTCAGGATCTAGGCGAATCCGTGGGGGAGAGGACGATGAGGTTCCTAAGGTGTGTCACAGCCTTTCTGTATGCGATTCAACCGTCCTCAACTCCCTGCAGGCAGGTGGAAGAGCTGCAAAGTGAAGCGGAAAGGCTGTACACAGGCCCAAATTGGCGTCGATACATCTATCGCGCACGCGATGCTGAGACGCTGAAGGACATGAAAGAAAAAGTGGTTCAGATCACCAGGTTTTTCCAGGCGAGCAGGCTTTCTCGCCCGCTCAGCGCCGTCGCTGACTGCGCACACACAGGCCGACTGTCTGGTTAGAATCATCCAGGAGATGGACCAGCTTATTGAAGGGATGAGGAGGGTGGAGGACAAGTTTGGAAACGTAACGTCGACGGTAGAGGTGCGTGTCTCGACAACGGCCCTCGGTTTCAAACACTGATGCAATTCCACAGAGAGTCGAGGTCGTTCAGATTCAGCAGAGTGAGTGCATATAGTCATTCAGGCCGCTCGTTGTATATTGCTTATTTGCGTGGTGGCGAACAGGAAGCGACGACGTACTCGAGAAGCTACTGCGAGCCGATGCTGGATATCGTGCCTCGACCAACAATGCGAAAAGCAAGTTCCTTCCAGGTACTCGTCAAGAGCTGTTCGAGCAACTCTCCCAGTGGGTTCGCGGCGAAGGTGCGGACGTCGAGGGTCGGTTCATCTGCCACTTGTCTGGCGTTGCGGGCGCAGGGAAGTCTACCATCGCGCGCGAGTTCGCCGAACGCCAAGACTTTGACCATGGACTCGCTGCGTCATTCTTCTTCGCTCGCGACGTCGCGGACTGCTCCACCACCCGCCTTTTTTTCCCAACCCTCGCTTACCAAGTCGCTCGCTCTCAGGGTGATATTCACCCTTTCATCGTCGACGCCGTCCATACGTATCTTGCACGCGGCCACAGTCAACAGATGAAATACGAAGCGGAGGCCCTCTTGACCACGCCATTGTCACTCGTCGACCCCTCGCATCGTCCCATCGTATTCGTCGTCGACGCCCTCGACGAATGCGTCGAGCCCGTGGACCGCTCTCTCCCCAGTCTCTTGGTCAAGCTCCTCGTCGACTGTGCGCAGCACGCACGCTTTCCCGTCAAGATTTTGTTCACGAGTCGTCCCTTGGATGCCGTCGAAAGAGCTATATATGCCAGTATCGACTCTCCGCAGGACAAGATCTACTCCCTCGACCTCAATAACCAGTCCCCTGCATCCCTGCTTAAGGACGTCAAGCTGTTCCTTAAAGACCGGCTGGCGAACAGCATTCCAGGCCACAATATGCTGAGGAACCGCAGCGACCTCGTCGATCGTTTGGCCGAGCGCTCTGAGGGTCTCATGGTCTACGCAGACACGGCGGTCAATTATCTTGGTGAATACCCCGAGGACGTGGAAGACCGCGCAGAGTACTATCTCCTCTTCAACCCCAAGCGATGTGAACTGGTCGGGCCTCTGAACGACCTCTACCTCGAGGCGCTCGAGATTGCGTTCCCAAGACACTGGCTGGAGATCGAGGAGCCGCTGCGGGATCGTGTGCAGACGATGCTCGGGACCATCGCGCTCCTGAAGGACTGCCTCTCGCCGAACGACCTCGAAAGGCTGCTGTCTATTCCCACGAAAACATCCGTATCCGTTCTCCGCCGCCTTCGCTCCGTCGTCGTGTTCGACCGCAACGACCTCGACGCGGCGTTCCGCCCCATCCACGTCACCTTCTCCCAGTTCCTCGTCGACATCCACCCAAAGTACAACAAGGGTCCGTACCTCGTGAACACGGTGCGCGAGCACGGACGCATCGCCGCCGGGTGCCTCGACACCCTCGTGTCTTCCCTGCGCCGGAACTCGCTCCGTGTAGCGTCCAGGGCGGCGCGGTCGGGCGTCTCAGACGTGGAGAGGCGGGTGGCGGCCGAGATCCCGAAACACGTGCGGTACGCGTGTCTGCACTGGGCGGGCCACCTCGCGCAGTCGGACCAGGACTCGAAGGACGCCTACGCGGCGCTGGACAAGTTCGCGAAGTCGGCGCTGCTGCGGTGGGTGGAGACGACGGCGTGGATGGGCCGGATGGACGCGGTGACGGTGTCGCTGGACAGGGTTGTTGCGTGGCAGGTATGTCTTTGGTTTTTTTTTTTTCGTGCTTCGGAGGCTGATTGCGGCCTGCTCTACAGAAGGCCAGTCCTGCACGGAGGGTATTGGAGAGCGTGCGGGTGTGGGTTGGAGAGCACCTTTATACATTGAAGGACGATCCTGAAGCCATCTACCAGTCCGGTGTCAAGCAGCAGGAGGGACCGCATGATTCTGCCACGCCGCCGATCTCCGGACCCAAGAAACTACTGCGAGGTTTTGCGGGGTATCATGCCTCGGGCGACAACGCCGAACTTAGCGAAGCCATCTACCAGTGTGGGGCCCTCGAGCAGCAGGAGGGACCGTTTGTCGAGCCTTTTACTGTTAGACAGGCAACGTACGTACCTGAGAAACCACCCCAAGCCGATGTGAGATATCGCGCCTCAAACGACAACTTTAAGTTGCTTCAAGGCACTCGCCAACAGCTCTCACCAGGAAAATCACAAAATACTAATTGGCACTAGCAGCCCAGTGCCATCGCCAGACTAGCATGTATTTCACCGACACATAATTAAAGCCATGTTACTGCATGACATGGCACGGACAGTTGAAGTGCGGGGAGGATAAAATATATTGGCAAATAATGTGATCTAACTAACTGGGAACGAAGCGTGTCTATGGCCATGTCCTCGTTTGCTGCAACGAGCGCATACATGAAGCAAGCGGCCGCCGACACGGATGTGGGCGACATGTCGAGACCGGGGTCACCGTCGAGCCTCGTCTCTCTCTCTCTCTACGCACTGACTCCGATCGGTCCTAGCAATTGCGCGAGGCCCGGCGTAGGCCGGGACGGCGGTGTGGCCCGCTACTGGCTGGGCGGGACAACCCGCGCGGGATGTGGAAAGGACTCGGAGGGAGGGTAGGGCGGGTGGGAAACGACTTCGGAGGTTGTCCGGAGCTCGGGATCTCAGCGCGAAGAGCGATGACGGTGGAGCGTCTGTTGCAGCGCTTCGCTGGATGCAGAAGCCTACCTCGGCCGGCACCGATACCAAAGGCGGAGAGGCGGGCGGGCGAGGCGGGCGAGGTGGACGCGGTCGAGTTGGGTGACGCGGGCGCGAGGCGAGTAAAAGAGCAGCATGGGCGTGGAGGCCGTGTGCGGGTGTGCGGGTTTGCGAGTGCGCGGGAAGGCAGGGAGATGAAGAGCATACGGCATTGAGAACGTGGAAGGGAGCACGACGGACGACAGAGGGACGCACCGCGAAGGAGCCGGGAGCATTGCAGGCAAATGTCCAGCCCTACGGGGGGAGGGGGGGCGTTGTGGCGTCGAGCGCAGACAGAGTAGGCGAGGTGCGCACTTTGACCGAGCACAGGTGATTTCCCTGGTGCATCCGTTGCGATAGCCTATCAGCAGCTACGGATGCATCTGGACAGATCTGGCGATCCGTGATGCGCGCCCGTGGAGACGCGCCTCGGTGGGCGGCAAGGACGCGTGGCGCGCATCGACGCGTGGCTGTGATGCACGCCACGCATCCATCCCCTTTGCCGTCCTTGCTCTCCTCCACCACCCTCGCTACTTACCCTCAGCCTCCCCGCTCTGCCCAGGCAGACGATAGCGACCATACGGTCGACTGTCGTCTGCTACTGGACCCCGGTGTCACCAGGTGACGCCGATCTTCCCTTCTCCGACCTCCCTCGACCTTGACCTCCTCCCTCGACCTCGATCCCACCCTATACCCACCTTCCCGACCGCACTCAAAACAAACACAACGCACGAGGACGTCCATACGGACGTCCACAGCATGGAGATTGGAATAGGGGGCCGCGGCGATGCACCGCGGCGCTCATTGGTGAGTCCTCCGCTCGGTCCTTCTGCACTCCCGATGCCCACCCATGTCCCCTGCCTACGACAGACCGAGCACGTCCACCCTGACGTCCTCCTCCTCCGAGCCGCTCTCCTCCACCCGCTCTCCTCCGTCCGCGTCGCCCACCTGCGCCATCCGCCTCTGCGTCGCCCTCCTCGCCCTGCGCCACCCGTGCCTGCCGCCTCCTTCGCGCCGCCCTCCTCTGCCCATGTCACCCGCCTCCTCCGCATCACCCTCCTCCTCCCGCGTCACCGCGCTCCTCCGCGTCACCTTCCTCCACCTCTGTCTTTCTCCGCGTCGCCCTCCTCCACCCTCGTCACCTGCCTCCTCCCCGCACCTCCTGCCCGCGCCGCCCTCCTCCGCGTCGTCCCGGCCCACATCACCTCCTCCGCCTGCGTCGCCTCCTCTGCCCGCGTCGCCCGCCCTCTTTGCTCTGCGCCTCCTCCCCCTTCGCATCGCGCGCCCCCGCCCGCGTCGCCCACCACCTTCTCCGCCTCGTCCTGGCCCTCCGCGTCCCCCGCGAGCCCTCCGCCTCGCTCTCCTCCGCCTTCGCGTCCCTCACCTCCGCCTCGCTCGCCTTTGCGTAGCCCGCGTCCGCGTCTCCCGCATTCCCTCCTCCTCCTTGTCCTCTACATCGCCCTCCACCTCCTCCTAGTCCCTCCGCCTCCTCCTGGACCCCCGCCTCGTCCTTCTCTGTGCTGCCCCGCTCCCCATCACCCGCCTCCGCCTCTGCCTCCGCGTTGTCGTGGGGCGTGGCTTACTTACTAGCCTACCTATGTAGTAGTTCACTAATAAATATATTTCGATCACTAATCATATGCAAGATGCGGTGTGAATCAAAGAGGGAGGCGAGCTCACCGTCGGAGACGGCGAGCTCAGGTGGCAGGGCCCGAGGCGCTGGTGTGCGCTCTGGATCCGTGCGCGCTCAGGGAAGGCGGTGTGGAGCGCAACCGGGCCGGCCGGCACCAGATGCATCCCCACCTGCCGATAGGCTATCGCAATGGATGCACCTGGTGAATCACCACTGTAGTTTGACCAGGCGTTCGCGGCCGATGGCCCATCGAGGAGCGTGGTATTAGTAAGGGCGTGTGAGTATATTGTTTGAAGACCGCTTGAAACTGGGCGAGTTCGGTTGAAGGATGGTGAGGCGGGGGCCGGATGGGGGCACCATGCGCACTGTTCGGCTGGGAGGTCGTAGCGAGATGGGACGGGCGAGGAGACGAGGGGAGGAAGAGAGGGGACGTTGCAAGGAGAGGGCGTCGGTTCTCACGCGTCCCCGAGGCGGAGCGGTACATAGCCGCTGCAGCCGCACCTCCTGCATGTCCCTCTGGCTCTCGGCGTCGCCGTCCGCCCTTGACCTCGCCCGCTTCACCCGCATCACGATCCCCCCGCCGCCGATCCCCACCAGCGAGGTCGAGCAGGAGAACGAGCTCCTCCAGCGCGAGGTCAAAAATGGCCCCGCCGCTCCTCCAGCGCGAGGTCAAAAATGGCCCCGCCGCGTTCCGCCCAGTGGAAGCAACTATGTAGCTTGTCAAAGGCGGCGTGGTCGGTGCAAGGATGGCCAGTGTCTCCTCACGTAATTTGGTGCGCTGCTTGCTTCCACTTGCAAACATCAGCGCCAAGGTCAGCGGATTCAACTGTTACGTTGCGACGCCCACCATCTCTCTGACCCACTAGCTCCTCGCCGACGCCTCTGTGGCCGGCGGCTACAGGCCCGTCCTCATCGACTACTTTGGGGGCGGACGCGTCCCGCACGAGCGTATCTCTGCCCCTGGGGAAACGCAGGACTTCAGCACCCCCATCTGCCCCTCTCCCTCGCAGCCTTGGTCTGCGCTGTAGCGTCTTAAAACCCGTAGTAGTCCAAAGGCACAGGTGCGTCGCCGCTTGTATCTGCATGAGGCTCGCATTGAGGGTATCATTGCCAGGATGCAGCCACGATCTCCACACAATGAGCGGGCCGATGTTCAAACGTTCGTCACCCCCCTAATCCCGTCTCTCGATGCATACGCTCACTGAGCAACTCGTGGTCCATATCATCTCCGGGACAGTCCTCGCCCGGTGTGCTTGATGGTGAGTCCTCCACCTATCACCCCGGCACCCCTCCTCACGCGCACGGCGCGTCCAGACGCGTCCAGACTCGCGTTCACGTTGACTGGAGAGCGGCCCGTGCGGTCATACCGGGAAACGTATGTGTGCTTACGGCCCACGAAATTGCGCCATCGCGCTCGTGAAGTGCCAGAATATATCAAGCTCGTCCGAGTCTTTCTTTGGGTGCTCGAGATGCCATTCGTCGAACTGCTCCACAACAGGCGCGCGTATGCGCGCAACTGGGCAAACTCGTCGTTTTGCCAACCGCGTCCACGATCACAAGGGGTGGGTCCTCCGCACTTGGGGCTCGTTCTCCCGCGTGGAATGCTAACCCCGAGGATCCGGGAGTGCTGTCGCCGGTGCCATGCCTTTACGCTTCGCGCGGAATGTGCAGTCTCACCAGGTCCTAGTACGATGGCTCGCT